GCTAATCATTTGCTAATCATTTGTGGAGTCTGCCTGAATGCARTGATGGTGACTGTGCCGTTGCTCTGTGCATAATAGTTCCTTCATTTGTGGGAGATATGCTTGGTAATTAAAAAAGTCCGTAAACAAAAGCTGAGGTGCAGCTTCTCAGCCGAGTGCTGTGGAGTGACATTGTAGTAGATGATTAGTCTTCTTGGGAGAAAATCAATGAAACCAGCAGTAGTCAGATGTCTTCTGACATAATTTTTCCTGTGTGCAGGTGAAGTGTTTTACAGTAGTCTTAGGAGCTGTTATTTTTTACTGGCTCTACAGTCAAAATTTGCAAAAATATCKGAAGGATTTAAGTATGCTCCCATGGGTGAAACAGGTACATGGGATTTAGGCAGGTAGGAAAAACAGAAAGGGACAAAAACCTCCTAATTTTGTCACTGCAAACTCTCATTGAAACTTCCTAGGTTTCTTTTGTGCTGCTGACTCCTTCCCTCCCTCACATGATGCTTATCTGGGGAAGCAATCATGGCTGGAATTTATAAATGCTTCTCTGTTGTGCAAAGGAACTTTGATAGCATGAAATGAATAACAGGTAACATAATAAGAAAAAGTATCTGGCTACAGCTTTGGAAATGTAAATTCTTTTATCAGTCCCCCTGCTAATTGGAATTTCTGTTTGTTGTTTCACATTTAGTGGATTTCATTATAGTTTCCTTGGTAATTAGATATTTTAACTATAAATGAAAAATACCAGACCAAAAAAACCCAAAGCAAAACAACAAAACCCAACCCCAAACTACCAACAAAAAAACCCTTCATTAAGATTCAGTCAAAGTTGTATATGGATACTACGTTAATTAAAATATTGTTACGTGCAGGTAAGCAACACAAAGGAAACAAATGAGCCACAAAAAATTGAAACTTGGAAAAAAAGGACCCAATCCAGCCCTTCCCAGTCACCACAAAGGCACTTGCCATCTGCACTGTGTTTGGGAGGAGACCTCATCTGAATGAGACCTTGAACTGGGGGCCAGGTCCCAGAGGTTTTTGCTTCTCCTCCTCAGTCTCCTGGTTGCACCTCTTTTGGATTGCCTTCCTTCCATGCTGTATCCAGCTCCAGCAGCACCAACTCCCAGACTGGTGGGGGCTACCAAATGCTCCTTGCCTTGTTTGGATACAATAGAGAAGGTGTCAGAAGAGAATTTTTGCATCATTTGTCATATGTCCATGTGGAAATGACTTCCCCAAAGTGATTTTTGTTCCAGGCAGGTGGAGAAAGGACTTTGCAGACCTGAGGAGTTTTTTAAATAGAAGGTCTTGCAATTTTTTCATGCTTTATGGATTTTTAAAAATATGCATGATGGTAAAGGGACAGTGAAAGGGTGGTTTTTTTTTTTTTTTTTTTTTTTTTTTTTTTTTTTTTTTTTTTTTTTTTTTTTTTTTTTTTTTTTTTTTTTTTCTATAATATTTCTTAAAGGAAAAATGAGTATGATGCATTGCATGCCTATGCCCATAGCAAAGCAGTGGCCACAGACCTGCCCCTTACACTTTTACTGATACTGCAGAACTAAGTGCTGTCCAGAAATGTAATTTGGAAGGCAAATGAGCCTTTCTGCATTTGCAGCTTCAAGTTTAGAGATAGGCACAGACACAGAGGAAGAAAAACTATTTCACAAAATGTTCATTCTTTCCAAGGCTGAATTCTGTCTTATTAGCTCAAGAAAGGAAACTCAAGAAGAAGGTATCATAGACAGATTTGGGTGCAAAGTTTTCACCAAGGTTGAGCTCTGCTCTGTAAGTGAGGTCTGCCGAATAGAGGCAGTAGTGTCTGAAGGATTCTGAAGTCTAGATGCCACTGTATCAAAGCAGTTTGCCTTTAAACAGATAGAAAAGACATAGTTCCTTGCTCCCTGATTTCCTTCTTTATCCTGTATGAACTGCCTCATTTACTAAGATTTCAAACCAAGCTCTTTTTTTTTGTGAGATTAGATTGCTTTGTACTGAAAACATTATAAATATGAAATATMCCAAAATCCAGATGAATCAAAAGGAATGACATTTTCCTTCAGCTGAAGGTCAGCAAAAACAGAGTGCATTGCCATGCTCCCAGAATTACCTTCTTAATTTCCAGYGTCTCTCTGCAGCTCAACCTCCTCCCTTTTGTATCACCCTTTCTATTAGTTTAGTAATATGCTGTCATCCTGATTTTTCTTAATTTCACTTGTGATATTACTTCTCCTTTTCCTCCTCCTATGGGAACAGATTTCTTCTGCCATATGCCCATTTAAACCTGATTGTAGTATCTGAACATCTTGTGTGCTTAGCCACAGCATCCCTTGGGGTTCAATTGAGGCAGAGGATGTATGTGACCTTTAAAGCCATGTCAATGTGAGACTCTCTCAGCACATGGGTCTTTAAAGCCTGGATGTCTATGCTTTATACTAACAAATTTGACCAGCCTGCCTTTTTATGAGGATATCATAATTTTGGGCAAATTCCAGGTTCCATATTTTAAATCAGCATGTAGAGCGTTTTTAAAATCTCAATTTCCCAAAGGTCAAGTTCCAGTAGATTAAAAACGAAAAAAAAAATCAAAGCAGTTGTTATTTTACTTATTTATTCCAGCAAATTTGTMGTAGTAACTACTTGAACATGACTAATTGGCAATTTGTAAATTGGACTGTTCTCAGTAGCAAAGTTTTAAGTAAATCAATGCTGTAACTGTTTCCTTATTATGACAATTCTTAAAAAGTGTGACAAGGTTGTTATAGGAAACAGTGAAAATCCCTGCATTTCTGGGGATAATAGATTTTGTATTTGTAGCCCAAGTAGTCTTTATTTTCACACTTTTTTTTTTTTTTTGCATACACCAGAAATAGGATTGTGCTGGGTAAACAGTGAGCTGCCCTAATAGTCCTGCCATAATAATGCTTTACTGTGCTGAAGTCTCATAAAACCTCCTCGGCTCAATGAAAGCCGTTTCACAAACATCCTTGGTTTGGATCTTGTGTTGTGCCACAGCACCATTGCTGAGCTTTGCCTTCCCAGAGAGTCTCTGACAGTTCAGCACATAAATTGTCCATATTTCAGTGCATTGCTGATGTAGAAGTTCTTCAATATAGAAACTCAGGTATGTCACCAATACATAGAAGCCAAAATATTATAACACTTGCCTTATGAGGCAACAATGTATGGAGTCTTAAGGGTATTTTATTATGCAGCAGACTGGAGACTGAGAGAAAGCAATGATTGATTTGTACTCTGAAGCAGAAAAAAATGCTGAATTTCAATTACAATTGACAGTATGTTCTAGTAACATAAGCATAACATTGTACATATATTGAAATTAATCCTACATTACATAAGTATGTAACACAGGTAATTTAGTACTAAAAYGACACATCTATGAAATAAAAACATTTTAGGCTATGAAAACACATAATTGTGACATACATCCAGAGAATATTAACTTTGCTCAATAGTGCTATATATCATGCAATTGGATTTTGACTGTTAAGCATTTAAACTCACCAGTTAAAGTTAGG